AGCCAACTGGCACAATGTAGTAACCAGGCCTGGCAGAATTTAAAGCCAACTGACCTTTGCCTTGTGGACAAGCAAAACATTTTACCTGGGAATGCATAATATTACAGCTGGAATGGAACCTGAGAGACCACTGAGCGCACACCACCTGTGAAAACTGAGTCCCAGAGAAAGTAACAGTCACTCGTGCTGTGGTAGCTACAGAGAGGCACAACCAGAGGGCAAGCTTCCTGACTTGTAGGAGGCCCCCATGGTTCCCTAAATGCTGGTTCTGTCTCTTCTCACTGAAACTGCAGAAAACTGCTTGGGGTCCAGAGCTTTCCAAAGGGGACCCAACCTGACCCTTCCCAATTCCCACTGTTCGTTCAAGATGCTGGCTCTTGGAGGGAGGTCTCCTCTTCTACCATGGAGGCCTCAGCCTTACAGCAGGAGCAGCAGCAGCATGACTGATGGCTCATGTCCCTGCCTAGTGTGGAGGAGGGACCCACAGCTGGACTGAAAACAGACATGCACACAGCCCCACTAACGGCAGATCCTTTGCGTGGGAATTTCTCGCTCTTTCAAATTGACCTGAGGGGGTGAGGGACTCCTGGAAAGACCCCCAGACCCTTCTGACTCATGCCTAAAGACCCCCCTTACCCCACTGCCCATCCGAATCCCTATCAATTCCCTGACCCTCTCAATAACCACCCAAATGAACTTGTTTGTCCAAGCAAAAACGGGCCAGAAGTTTTATTGGCCCCGGGAAGTTCCCGTGAAGGAATGTTTGTTAGTGTCCCCTTGAGGGAGGTGAGTGTTAAGAGGGGATCCCCCTTAAGGCCTGGGGTGGACAGGGAGTTGGTTAATGGCCATACCCCAGAGGTGACTTTTCAAGGTGGTTATTATGTGGCTCAATCATTAACCAGGCAGTGGCAGGACCCCAGGCTTGTTGGAAAGGAGCCACTCCTTTCCCAAGGACGGCCCAAGAGCAGAAGGCTGCAGCCAGGGAGAGTGCTCATGGGGTCTCCCGGCCCTCTCACAGCCTGCTCTGGAGCAGTCAGAAAAGAGGCCTGGGTGAGGGAGGGCCTCTGCCTCAGCTCCACAGGAGGGTGGAGGAGGGCTGGCCCGGATGTGGAGGAAGTCAGCACACCCTCACTGAGGTGGAGGGAAAACCGAGACAGTGAGGTTTTTATCATGAATGAGAGAGGAAGCTCCAAGCTGGGTCTTGGTGATTAGATGACAAGCTGGGAAAGACGCTCATCCTGAATGCATCCTGTTTTGCTCCAAAGTGGCCTCGGGGGTCAGGGGAGGGGCCAGGAGGAGAGGAGCCTCCCAGGAATTCTCCCAGGCCTGCTGACCTCAAGGTCCTGGGTGGCCCTGGAACTGGGGAGGCAAGTAGGAAAGTTCACCCCATTTACTGCTAAAGTTTACCCCATTAACTGCTAGAGGAGCAAGGCACAAAGTTTCCACAAGAAGCTTCCCCAAGTCAGCCCCGGGAGTGGCAGTCCCAGGGACTGGGGCTAGTGCTATAAAATGAGGGGCCAGGACTCCCTAATTGCTCCAGCTCTAACTTTGCCTAGGCCTCTCTTCAAAGGTTCAGCTCAAATGTCACTGCTTCGCCTCTGTCAGTCACCTTCCCCTCAGTCAAAAGCAACAAGCAGGCTCTCTAGTCAGGCCTCCCCAGGCAAAACAGCCCTCCTAGACAGCTGGAAAGATGAACACTGTCAGGATATCTGATGATATTAAGGGGCTGTTCTGGATGTGCTAATGGTACAGTAGCTTTTTTTTTTTTTTTTTTGGAAGCCTTATCTTTAGAGATCTATATATTGCACTATTTATAGATAAATTGATAAGATGCCTGGGATTTGTTTCAAAATTACAAGAAAGAAGGTGAAGCAGATGGAGGTATTAATAGGCAGGATTATACCCATGGGCTAATGGGCTCTTACTACACTAATTTCCTCTATTTTTATATATGTTTGAAAGCCTTCATAATATATTTTTTTGAAAAGTCCTCACTGAGGTAAAGGCTTCGTTTGCCACGCATGATTCATGCCACTAACGCCCAAACTAGATGGTCAATTCCCTGAAGGTGGGGGTTACACTCTGTGTCCTCCAAGACCTAGCCAAGCCTGAACTTAATGACTAATAATTTGTATGGTCTTTGGTAGTTTACAAAGCACTTAGCCATGGATCCTCTCATCTAATCCAATGAAGTGGAAACAGTGGGGAGAAACCAAGAGCCGGGGAAGTCACAAATGGAGCAGCAGGGCCCAGATTTAAACCTCCCATATGTCCGGCTTTCAGTCCCTTGTGCTTTGCCCCACACCACCCTGGATTCCTGAGGAACTTAACGTCCAGTTACCCATACCAGCACCCTGAGGGTTGGGGGTAAACAGGGACAGCAGTCAGTGACATGTGAGTTCCCAAAGTAGAGGGCTGGGCAAGAGAAGACTCACACACAAACACAGCATTTCAGATCTTCAACGGACCGATTCTGGGATGAGTACCCCTCTCCTCCCATACACACGAACCAAGGCCATGGGTCACAGAGGAAGAGAGCCTTAGTACACAGTTGACACCAACAATTATGTGCCCAGGCCTATTCTCCACTACTTTGTTTAGGGCTGCAGAGTGGGGGAGCTCACACTTCCCATCCTAGAGCCCTTGGATTTTTTAGATCATTTATCTCTATTTTATCTGATAATGGCCTCCCCAGCGCCTGGGCCCAGGGCCAAGACACTCAATCTTACCCAAACTTAGAGTCCAAAGAAAAAGTTCTCTTTTATTCAAGCTAGAGGCAATTCCTTCTTCCAGCCAAAGACCGCTTGCCCCACCTTCTCCAAAAAAGTGAGGGCACAGTCTGCATTTCTTAAGCCTGCCATCCACTGAACCTGAACATTCCAGAACAGTGAACTCCAAGAGTGTCCTAGCAGAAAGGCACCAGCAGCTGCAACAGCATCCAGATTATAGAAACCATCCTCTGCTCCCGTGGAACCTTCTAGCTTTTGTGTTGCTGCTGGTATCCCTGTAGCTGGATCCAGGGGCACTCTGCTCCCTCTCCAATCCCTAGTCCTAAGGGTGGAACTTTAAAACTTCAAGAAGGCAGAGAAGGTCAAAGTTCAGGCCTCTTCGTGGCACTCTCTTTGCTCCTATGCTCAAACTCCCGAGGTGTGCTTTAATTAAGAAGGCTCTTCCATCCACCCTGCTCAACTCATGCCCGACTCTCCAGCACTCACACAAGATACACAGCCCCTTTGTGCACCTTCTGCTCCTCTTCTTGCTCTAAGCACCTCCAGCTATCTCTCAACCCTGTCTCCTCTCCTGGTGGGGGAGGGGAGCTGCAGATGCACAGGGAGGTTGAGCATTCCTCTCAAAGAGTTGCTTAAGAGGTGGACATAAGGCCAGCGAAGAGGGCAAACGGGATTCTGTCCATGTGGTGTTTACTAGCCCTAATGACAGAGGTCCAGGGAGCAGAAATGCCAAACCCCAAATCGGGAACAAAATTGGACATCAAATCCCGGAAATGATCTCCAAACCCAGAATGCCCAGTGATACAGTAGCTACAGCTTTAGGGTAAAAAAAACCCCAAACCCCAACACCATCATTCCCATCACACTCTTACCCACTTGCTCCATCTTCCATTCATAAACCACTTGCAGCCATGCCTCTTTCTCTATGCCCTTGGGCTGTCTGCCTTTCCACCCCCAGATAGAAATTGTCTCTCCTTTATTCCAGGCAGATGGAAATGAGGGGAAAATTCAGAGAGCAATAAGAAAAGATGGTGGGTGGAGAGAGCAACCCTCAGAGTGGGGGCGGGAACAGGTCTCACAGTAGGAGTCAGGGTTTGAAAATAGCCCTGGGTGTGACTCACACCCTCTCCTCCTAGGTGGGCAGACCTCGGGGCTCCAAGGGGGACAGAGAAAGCCAGGCTTTTCCAGCCCAACCTCTGGGGTCCCAGGCTCTGAGTTGGCCCCATTCCTCCTCACCTTGAATCTGGCTGCTGTCCTACTCACCCTTCCTGCTGGTTTGCCTGCTGGTTTGCCTGCACAATCACCACAAAGCTTTCCATCTGTATAGTTCCTGTCGCCCCAAGCATCTCCAAGACAACCTTTTACCTACCTATACCAGTGAGGAGCTTGGACCTGTGGGACAAGTCAAAATGTCATGGAAAACACTGGCCCTTTAGATACTGAAATCCAGCCCATGACCTCAGGTTGAGCGCTGTTGAAAACACTTTGGCCCGCAGAAGTAGCATGACTCACCTAAGGTCACATGAATTAGTGGCTGAACCCCAGATTCCTGAGTCCTAATTCAGTGCTCCACTACAAAGAGTCTTGGGAGAAGAGAAATGGAGAGAACCCCAGACTACCTAATTTGGAAATCCCAAAAACTTCCACTAAAAGGAAGCCTTTCCTCAGAGCTTCCATAATCCAAACCCACTTGGGACTTCATGGGGCCACGGAGCCGTGAAAGATGTGACTTATCCAAAGGTTTTCACTTGATCCCCCACAGCCACCTTAATACCAGGAAAGTATGAGCGTTTCTCAGAAGGGAGGACAATGGCCAAGGGGAAAGCCCACAGGGCCCTACCGGGGATTCCTGGAAATGCCCTCAAAAGCAGAGGAAGGAAAAGGGTAGGCGAGGTGGCAAAGAGCCCGAAGGGCCGCCACCCCTGCCCTGTTCAAGTCCCCTTCCAAAGCCCCAGAGCTAGGGCTCCAGACTCCGGCCAGGCCCCGGGATAACGGGGAAAAGTCTCCTTCTACCACCCGACTGGCGGGGCTTCCATGGGGAGAAGCGCTGCCAGAGGGCTCAGGGGGTCCCCCAATTTCGGCGACTCCGACCCCAAATCCCGGGGGGCGAAAGTGGCTCGGCTTGCTTCCTCTGTGTCTCCTGAGTGCGCTGCCTCGCCGAACCGCTAAGAGCGGGGGCGGGCCAGAGCGCTCCCGGGACTAGGCCGGGCCTGGGGGCCCAGGGAGGCCCCGTGGGTCCGGATTTTTGCCTGACTTCACCCCAACTCCTACCTGGAGGCCGCGTCCACCACTTGGGGTTCGAGACCCTGACACAGCGGCCAGTGGGCAGGAAGTGAGTGCACGAAGGACTGCTCCCGGCTGGGGCACGCGCGGAGCCTGGGGTCGGGCGGGGGTAATGGTGCCAGCCAGAGGAGCAGCTGCAGCGGCTGCTTAGCTGTTGTCAACCAGAGGCCACTTTCGGCTCGGGTTGGGAGGGAACGACGGCAAGTTGGGCGGTAGGGACGCCCCGCCCACCTACGGGCCCCTCTACCAATGAGGGCGCAGTCCGGCCCACCGGACTCCCCAGAAAGTCGCCCAAATTGTGGTGGGCGGGGCGCTGCCTTCCAGCTCCTCCAATAACCGCGCCGCTGCCTCTTCCTCAGGTCACACCGCTGGTGGGAAGGGGGGTAGGCGGGGAGAAGTCACAGCCGGAGCTAGCAACGGAGGGTGAAGGAGCGAGTGGCTGGCCAGGCGCACAGACTATTTATTAGGCTCTGAATGTGCCTGGCACGGTCTGGGGAATTTAAATACATGTGCCTGTGCACGTCAAGGTTCAGTGGCTTGCTGCGGGTAATTTATGGGGCATTCCGAAGACTTCAGTGAGATCTCCGATTAGTAGGGACAACCAAGAGGGAAACTTGGACATTGAATACTTGAGCAGGAAGTTGCCATTCCCACCTTGCTCAGGCCCCAGCATTCTGCAACTTCCCGCCTACCCCCCCCCCACCCCCCACCCCCCCACCCCCGCCTCAAGTCCAAACTCTACCTCCGGGGAGAAATGCATAGACAACTTGGGGCATATGCGTTAATCATGACAGGCGAGGGCTCCCAAGAGTGTGACATCAGAAAGCTGATTTAAATTCTATGAGAAATAGTGTTAAGATTTGATTTCTCTCTTGTCTTTCCTCACGAGGGTTACAAGTTCACAACCATGACTTTATTGTCGAATTGAGGACTCCTATTAGTGGGGACTGGGAGTACTCAAGACAATGTGCCATCCAGCTGCCCTCCTCCACATTTACAGATACAGAAACTGAGAAGACATGACTCACTCAAGCTAACCCATCAGATCCATGGGTTATTTTCTCCATACCTAACAGACGGGAGAAATGAAGCTGAAGTTCCTGGAAAGCAGGGGCCACATCCATCTAATTTCTTTGCTAGAGTACCCAACACAGATGAGAGCAAAAATTCATGTTTATTAGGACAACAACTTTGTTAAGGTCACCCAGGCAATGGCAAAGACAGGCATAGCCGCAAGTGTCCCCCCTCCTGTCTTGGTCTTCAGACAAATTGGAATTCTCCCACCTTCCTTCCCTAGTGGCCCTGATGAGAATCAGAGGAGAAATGCTGAAGCAAGGCTACACCCAGGGTGCACCCCTTCTTTCCTCTCAATGGCAAGATGGGAGCTGGCACTTTGTTCAAGATGAGTCAGGTCCCTGTGGGTCTGGGATGTAGATGAGACCTGTAGATGAGACTCCAGAACTCACTTATGGAAACAAAATCCTACCCAGAGTCAGGAACGTCTGTAATGGGTGGGAAGGTAGATGACCTCCTTCCTGAGGCTGGGCTGTTATATTTGTGAACATCCCTAAGGTCCTGAGTTGGGGCCAAACTTATCTTGCTTCTGAAAAATGCAAAAAGGCTATAAAAAGCGTGGGTCCTGCAGTATCTTTATAGCTTCCCTATGGGGAGGAAGCCATGTCAGAGCCAATTCCATCCACCACATAGCACCAAGCAGTGTCCACAGTAGTTTCTCAGTAATGTTGGAAGATAGTCGAGGGACAACCAACCATGAAGAAATTGCAATCACATAAATAACGGCCAAACCCCAACCACCTTTTAGTAGATATATTTAAGTGACTCAGAGATGATGGATTCTGAGACACCCAGTAGTGTCTTAAAAAAAAGTAATCAAACCAGACAATTAAAAAAGGAAAAACTACAGAAGTAAAAATACATTTATAGCAATTGCTATAAATAAGTGGAACAAGAACTTCACAGTGCCTGGCATAGAGTAGGTACTCAATAAAAACATCTTTTGAATGACTAAGTGAACACAATAGTCAGGAAAATCTACAATTCTCATATTTTCCATGCACACTGTGACATTTTAAAATGACCAAGCAAAAAAATAATAATAATAAAATAAAATAAAATAGCCAAGAAATATCTAGGCTATTTCTTTGGGTCTTTCTTGATCTCTTTCTCTTAACCCATGAGCTTTAGAAAGGCAAGAACTCAGTCTCTTCAGAAGGAGATAGCTCGTTGCCTTTAATCCTTGCTCTCTGATCTACCCCCAGGCCCTGACCTAAGTCAGAGTCTTGTGTGGAGCTGATATACAGTAATGGGGCCTGGTACAGAGGAGGCAATGGTACCTCTTCGCAGTCTCCTGGGTTGCATCTTGAATGGCTCTGGTGATAACTGGAGCCTTTAGGTCCCAGGTGTCCATTTTCCCACAAGCCCCCACTACTGCCTGGATATCTTAGGGTGATGCTGCTGCTGCTGTTGCTACCTTGGATGCCAGCTCAGCCATTAAGCAGGGAAATGTAGAGTGCATGAGGGCAGACTGAGGGCAGGTAGAAAAGCCTTGGGGTGCATGTATGCATTTCCACGCCCTAGACATGGGGCTTCCCTCTATCACTATCCAAGCCCAGTTGTGTCATACAAAGAGCCGTATGATGGAATCTGGAGCCAGACAGCCCAAGCACAAAGCCCAAAGCCCAACTCTGCTACTCATTAGCCATGTGACCTCAAGCAAATTATATTCCACCTTTCTTTGTCTCAGTTTCCTCACCTGTAAAGTGTGGCTGATAATCACAGTCCGGACTTTATATGGCTGTTAAGCGGATCCTCTGGGCTAAATCGTACTTAGAATGGTGGCTAGCTCATAGTAAGTGCTCCTAAGTGTTAGATACAGTGACAGAGGTACTAAGCAATAAAGAGAAAGTGCTGGATACTACTCCCAGTTCTACCACTTTCTGGCTGTGTCAAGGAGGGGAAGTCATTGTGCCACTCCAACCGTCAGGATTTTCACCTGTAAAATGAGGATAGAGCATAACCCCTATCAGGCAAAATTAAGACAATGGATGTGAGGGTGGGCTGTAAAGGGTGGTGGCAGGTGAAGGGACGGCCAAGCAAGGTGTTGGGCAGCTCAGCTTTTTTCCAAGGCCAACCAGCTCATTTCTTCTAGGAGGTGGCAGAGAGAAACTCCAGACGCCGTGACTGTGAGCCACACTCCAAGACACACGGGTTCCAATAAGTGTCTATCTGGACTTCTAATGGCCCCTAGAGCCCTTACTGCCTAGGAATGGAGATCCTTCAGACTGTGGCAGGCAGACCCGTAGCTCCACTCTGGAACGGCTGAGGGTGATTAAACAGGTGCTTCCACTACCTTTTCCCATGGAGCTAAAGTAGCAGCAGCAGCAGCAGCAGCAGCAGCAGCAGCAGCAAATAATTCCCAGGGAACCCACCTGAGAAGAAAGAAGGCAGGTAGGAACCATGAGGGGGAAATGAATTACACTTGGACCAGCCCCGGGCAGCACAGGACCACGGATGCCCTCACACCTGCACACATATTTCTTCAGACCTCCAGTCTGAGGTCTGAAAGGCCTCCAGTCAAGCCTGGGACGGTAAAGGCCTGCTCTTCAAAGTCTTGGGGGCCCCGCCCAGCTTCATGAAAGGGGGCTACTGCTCAGATCCCCACAACATGAGACAGTTACAGCTCATTAAAAAAAAAAAAAATGCCATGCCAAGGCAGGGGCGTTTGCACCAAGACGGGCAGCCAGAGTAGTGCCAATGTAGGAAGAAAGGGATTGGTAGTGGGAGGGTCTTGAAAAGGTGAGGGGTAACAGGAACTCCACTGTGCTAAGTGGGAGTGGGGATGGAGCTAAGTCCTGGGAGGAGCACAAAGACCACCTCTCAGCCCACAGCCCAGGACATCACTATGGCTGTGCCCACCCCACACCGGAGAGTACCCTGAAAGGGGGAGCTCCGTGCTGGGCTGGGAGCCCTGGGCTGGCTGTGAGGAAAGCTGGAGTACTGGCTAAGCCAGGCATAGGCCAGGGGAGTTTCAGGGATAGCTTACTCTCTCAGAGCATCCCCTCCCCCCAGCTCCAAGCTAGGACTCAGATGCATTTATTCCCTCTCACCTGCCTCCTGGAACTATTGAAAGGAATGTATGGGGCAGCTCATGATGAACCTCCAAGCACTTGGACTAAGCAGCTGGAAAGGGAGAACCCAGGCCCCCTCAGTCTCTGCCTCCCACTATTCCCCAGACACCCAAGAGCCTGCCCGCATCATTCCAACAGATACTAGGCAAAGGGACAGCAGCTAGAAAGCCAGCCCCCAGCATCCACACAACAAACCCAACTGAGCCATGACAGTGTGGTAGGCACCATTTCACATTCAGGATGGGCCCCTGACTTGGCTTTACTGGCCAGTCTCAAAGAGGCCAGAGGTTTTCTGCTGCAAGCAAATGGAACACCCCTCCATTCCCTCAGGGAGGTCTGCCTGCCTCCTCTCCAACAAATAGAGGGGCTAAGCCCTTGGTGAACCTGCCACAGATACCCAGAGCAGGATGTCCACTCCCACCCCACCCCCCCACCTCATTCCTGCCCTTCAGAGGATAGTCATCGTGCAGCGAGATGAGTGAAAGCAAGTCAACTTCTAACACGAAGCTTTCTCCCTGCCCCACTCCATCCTCAGGCACACCCACAAGCAGCTGAGACCAGAGGAACCCTCCCGGTGCCCCCTCAACAACATTCCCCTCTGCCTGACTTAGTTTCAGCCCTTGAGCTCACTCCTTCCTGGCCAGGCTCAGTTTCCTCATCTGGAAAAACAGAGCTGGGTCCTGGTTTCTCGGGTGCTTTCTTTCTTTTCTTTTCTTTTTTTGAGAGAGAGAGGGGGAGGGAAGGGCAGGGGGAGGGGCAGAGGGTCTAGAGCCCAATGAGGGGCTCAATCTCACACCCCTGAGATGGTGACCTGAGCAAAATTGACAGTCAGATGCTTAACCAGCTGAGCCACCCAGATGCCCCGGGGACCTTCTTTCCATAACATTCTCTGCTTCTGTGAGCTTCTCTGTGTGTTCGTTCCTGTGGAGGGGGTGAGGATCCCAGAAACCCAACATCTCTGGAGCTTTTGCAGAGGACTGGAAGTACTTGGGGGTGTAAGAGTCCTCTG